GGCTGGCAGCCCAGGCAGGATGTGTGCGGGGAGGGTGGGGCGTGTGGGGACCTGTCCCAGCCACTCCTCATCTCTGGGCAGCTGGTGGCTTAGACCTTAATCCAGACACCAGCGGGACGAGGGGCGCTGCAAACAGCTCTGTGCATGGTGGGGACAGGCAGGGGGGCTGCAGAGGAGCAGGGGCTTCTGCAGGGGGAGGACGGCGTCCTCTGGCCCTCCTCCCTCTCTCGGATCAGCTCCTTGCTGGTGGGAAATGCAGGGGATTTCAGACACCTTCAGAATCCCCAGCAAATCTTGGGGCTCCCCAGGCCCCCCCTCAAATGGAAGGAGCTGGGGACACGGTTGAGTCCCCTTCCGGGTACCCATCCCCGCTGAGGTCTCCAGTCCAGGGTGATCCAGATTTGGTTGGCGCCTTCTGGGGAGCGGTGGCGCATCCTCGCCTGGGGTTTCTGCCGGATCCCTTAGGTCCCCTTGCACGGCCCCTCCTTCTACCTGCCCTGTCCCTGGGCGCGTGCAGCCTGCCGCCTGCCTCCAGGGCCCCTCTTCTCCCCCAAGCCTGCCTCGGCTGCCCGCCCTGCAGAAAGGGCCAGGAGCTGGGGAGATGATGCTGGCGCTGACCTCGGGTGTTGCCCACCTGCTCTGGACGGGAAGCTGTGGGGTGAAGTGGGAGACCCCAGGACTGTGGCCTTCCTCCCTCAGTGCCGGGGCCCAGGGGAGCCAGCCGAGCACCGCCCAGGGTAGGGTGGGAGGCACTTCGCCCCCAGGCATCTGATGAGGGCCACCTCCCTCTTCTCCAGTTGGCCCATCTGTGCACAGCCTCTGGGACGCCCTCCTGTCACCCGCTGTCCTCTGCCCGGGGTGGCCTGCAGGGCGTCTCCTGGGGGTGCCGCCTGTCCTCTCGGCACAGCCCCCTCCCACCTGTTCCTTCAGCCCTGCCTGATGTCCACTCTGCCCTCGTGGCTCCCCGAGTTCCTGGTGCCACTTCTGAGAGCTGCGTGTGCCAGTGTGTGTGTCTGTGCGAGCAAGTCTGTGGTTGTCGTGTTTATGTCTGCAGATGCGTGTGGGCTCGTGCTGCTGGGGTTTGCGTGTGCACCTGGTGTGTTCTGTCTGTGTGCACTTGTGTGTCTGGGTGCATGCGTGTGAGTTGTGTGCGCCCAGGCGGCAGCGGGCACCTGCGGGCGGGAAGGCTGTGGGCAGCACCCTGCGCATGGGAGGTGCTCAGCGACTGCTGCCTTGCTGAGTGATACCTGGCTCCCACCGGCTCTCCAGAGGTGAAAGCATCGGAGACACGGAAGGGAATGAAAGCGGCTGCTGCCGGGATGCTGAGGGCGGCGGGGAGGAGCCGAGCAGAGGGCAAGGGCCGAGAGGGGGACCCGCGGCCCCTGGAGGGTCCCAGGCAGGTGCCAGCCTGCCTTGCTGAGTGATACCTGGCTCCCACCGGCTCTCCAGAGGTGAAAGCATCGGAGACACGGAAGGGAATGAAAGCGGCTGCTGCCGGGATGCTGAGGGCGGCGGGGAGGAGCCGAGCAGAGGGCAAGGGCCGAGAGGGGGACCCGCGGCCCCTGGAGGGTCCCAGGCAGGTGCCAGCCCCCTGCCATCACCCTACCTCCCTGTGTCCTGCAGCTGCCGCTGGGCCCGAGAGATGGGTGCTGTCCCGGGCGCCCGCCGCCCTGGCAGGGGCCGAGCACGCTGCAGCTTCACAAGAGCCTCGGCGACGGCTTTGGCTTCACCCTGCGGCATTTCATCGTGTACCCCCCAGAGTCGGCTGTGCACTGCAGCCTGAAGGTACGGGACGGAGGCTGGGGGGGGTCCCTCAGGGTGAAGCCCGCGGCCCCAGCAAAGGCTGCAGGGCTGGGACCACCGTGGACTGGTTCCTCCCAGGAGGCGGGAGTGGCTGGTTCAGGGCAGGGCACCTGGAGGTGGGAGGCCGGCGACCTCCTGGAAAGTGAGCAGCCTCCCTGTCCCCTGGTGGCTTCAGCTGGGTCTGCTGCCCCAATCCGCAGCGGTCACACTCTCCTCCCAGTGTGCCCCGGGCCCCGGGTGGGGCAGAGGACCCCCAGTCCTGGGACCGGTCCCAAGGCACCTGGGCTTGGGGCCATCCCCCCGCCTCTGGCACCATTTCTGCTGTGCCCTGGGTGCCTTGAGAAAGCCCTTCTGGTGCTAGGATAAACGCCAGGCTCTCCAGGCCGATGAACCTGGCTCCTCACCCGGCCCACGCAGGCTGTGGGTTGGGGTCAGAGCCAAGGGGAGCACAGGGTGGGGGTCAGACAGAAGGGGCCAGACGGCGATCGGAGCCCCCATGAGGTCCCGTCCCGCTTTCTTCCTGCAAGGGAGGAGATGGTATGTTGGGGTCCGCAGGCCCTCTCTCCCCTTCCTCCAGCGCTAGAATCAGCCTGCCACAGCTGTTGGGCTTCTCCCAGCGGTGCAGGGACCTCGGTCCCACCTGCCAGAGAAGCAAAGCACTGGGTCTCATGGCCTTGTCTGTGTGCTTTGGATGACATGCCGGGCACAGGCGTGCACACGTGCGGCTCTGTAAACAAGCGTGTGTCACAGCGGCGGGTGCCACTGTCACTGGCTCCAGCTGTGCTTAAGAGTGGAAGTGGTGCGTGGCCCTGTCCCACCCTGTGCCCAAGGACACCAGCCCCTCGGACCCAGGACTCCCTTCCCCTCTTCCCTCCCGCCCTCCCTCC